AAAAAAAAAAAAAAATTACCAATGAGGAGTTAAAACACTTATCTTAAAGTGCACAAAAACGTATATGTGGGGTGGGTAAAGTGTAATTCTTTAAATTACACTTAATTAGATGAATGACTGAAAAGTCAATTTTACCCTCAGAAATTCCCGACGATTATAGGAAATTGGTTAAGTGCAATTTTTCGCAAAGTTGTATGGGCAAAGTGTCACGAAAAAAGTTGAGTGGTAAAGTGCAAAAAATTCTATAGTTAGGTAGGTTAAGTGTAGTTTTCCCAATATCTTAATATGAATATTTAAATAATAAAGCAAATATACTAAAAAGTAAAAACAAAATACTGAAAAAATAATAAGGTAAGTTATATATAGTTTAACTTTAAGTATATATATTTTAATTAATTTTTTTAATTTAACTACAACTTAATTCTAAGATTAAAACTTCTTATTCTTTAATTTAAATGTCATTAACCGAAAAAAATGATATAATAGAACCTGATCGATAAATATGACACTATTCAACTCACGGCTTTGCATTTTCAAACTTTTAATTTCTAAAATATACAAGTTTTGAATACGTTATCGTTTAAATGTCTTCGCAGAAATATATAACGCAAAATAGCGTGAAACAGTGAAAATAGCGTAAAAAGTGTTCTATTTCAGCATTTCTCGTAAGTTTTTTTTTTTGAAAAAAAAAAACGCTATATTTATAGTGCTACATCATGTTTTATCTATTAACTAGTACAACACCCGTGTATTACACGGGTGCTTGCTAATTTTTTTCTTAAAATTTAAAATCAATGAGAAAAAGTAGTTTGAAAATTTAAATACCTTTTATAAGAATATATATATTATTATATATTTATTATGATAATTTTTATGGAAAAAAAAAGTTTTTTGGTCCTTTATCTACAGGCCGTTTTTAATTTGGTACCGTAAATGGACTGTTTTTGGAAATAGTCCCCTAACTGAAAAAAAATTAGCTTTTTGGTCCTCTGACCGCCTATATCAAGTCATTGTAACCGGCTGAGCTACGTGGAAATTCGCCAATTTTTCTTTTTTTTTGCTGAGTTGTAATGCCACGTGGCGTTTATGTGGAAAAATTGCAAAAACTGTGCTGTTGACGGGATTCGAACCTAGGTCCAATGGGCACAAAAGGAGCTCATGAACCACTTGAGCTAGCACCAATTATGTTAAGTATTTAACTTCAATTATATATCTACCAACATCTTTTTATCTAATATATATATATATATATAATATAAATAAATTCGC